TGGCTTTGAGTGCTGTTTGATTGTACTGGGGCTTCTATTTCCCTTTGGAATCAGCATGGAGGCACACCTGACCGACAGACCCTTCAGAGTCCGTCAGCCGAGCAGACGGGAGCGACTCCAGAGACACTGTCTGTGGGGTTTACAGAAGCCCAAGTCCCACCCCAAAGGCTCCTCAGCAGACTTAGCAGCCTGCGGATTCCAGATGGGGAACTTCTGAAAGAACAGAAACCGAAGAGAAGGGACCTGTGGGACATTCTCGAAATGAGGAAGGGCACGCAGGGGGTTCCCCGGGATCAAGTGTGCTGGAGATGCCCAATCAGAGGAAAGGGACTGTGAGGAGCCCAGGGAAGTTTCTCCAGACTGGTTGGGGGCGCCGGAGGGCAAGCGCGCTTCTGTGGAAGCAAGCGCCGGGTGAGGCGTGCCAGGCACAGGGCCCCCACAGCACGTGTGGACGGACAGACAGACGGACGGGGCCTGCAGAACCAGGAAGGAAACGGGGCTTGCGCAGGGTGCTGCCGTGGGCTGCACACGAGGCGAGCTCTGTGCTGGTGAGCATTAGAATGGACTAATCATCTTTCAAATGAATGAAAAATAGGACGCCTTTCTACATGGCAGGGGCAGAAGCACCAAGCGGTGTGGAGAGGCTGAAATGAATTTGCAGCCAGCTCCTGCGGAGAAAAATACCCAGGGAAATTTCAGTGAGTTAAGTAATCAGATGAGTCACGTTTACCCTGGGGATTTCATTCATCCAGCTGACTAAGATGGAACTTGGATGTTGTAACATCTGACCTTTGCTAGCTGGTAGATTGTGTGTGACTATCTAAGCCTTTTCTGAGGCTCGGGGTGTGTTTCTGGATTCCACTGCATTCCCACATGCAATACGAAAAGTTTCAAGTGCTTGTCCACACTCAAGCGCTCAGGATCGGTCCTTCTGGAGCGCTGCACGCCATCCTGGAACATGGTTTCCTTCCTTCTCTGGGTCTAAAGCCTTGGTGGAAGCCAAGAGTCTGACCTTGGGATGGGTCATCCCAAACTGGATTTTTTTCAGATTCTATGCCATTCCTTTTTCCCAATCTGGAATGTCAAATTCATTTATTCATTTGAAACATTTGCATGCCGCCCAATTTTGCCACGGCCCATCTGGGCGGCTCACAGGCGACATTGCAAGAGTCAGAGCTGGGAAACACGGAAACAACCAGCAGCAAAGCCCGCGCTTGAAAACGCTGCCCCAAGTGGAGGCACTCCAGCTCCGCGCAGGCACAGGCTCCCGTTTGGCTTCGCCCCCCCCCCCCCAACAAGATGCCAGTCCGCGAGGGAGGGGGCGAGGGCCGGGGGCACCTGCGCTGGGCCGGGGCGTGCTCCGCTCGAGCTCCCGGGGTCGCGCCCCCCGAGCCCCGCTTCCCTTACCGGGCTCGTTCGCTCGCAGGCCCGACTCGTGGCCCCTCTGCTGCTGCCGCTGGATGCGCGCGGAGTGGCCCAGACACGCGCGGCGCGGAGGCCACCCGCGGGGAGCGCCCGCCCCTG